TTTTTTATTATTTTATTATCCTCTTTTTATTTTCTTTTATTTCTCCCCTTTATCAGCAGCTTTCCTTGCTGTTAAACTCCTTTGCTTTAATGCCCTTTTGTAACGAATTATTGCTTATTGTTTAGATGCAGGCTTGTCTCATGCTGATCGAGAGGCCAGTCTAGAACTGATCAAGTTAGACATTTCCAGAACCTTTCCCAATCTCTGTATTTTCCAACAGGTAGGGTACATTGTTGTTTCTGGAGTTTTATATCATCTGCTGACAATTGTGTCATCATATTTTGGGGTTTTATTTTCAGGGAGGCCCATACCATGATGTATTGCACAGCATTCTGGGAGCTTACACTTGCTATCGTCCTGATGTGGGATATGTAAGTCTTGTTTATCCAAGTAATGTCTAATGTTTTTTAAATGTGCTCTGCACCACTGCACTGTTTACAAGCGAAACCCCTCTTTATCCCTCTATGACCCATATTTCATCTTAACCTCAGTTTGCTTGAGTATTGACTCGCACAAAGAGATGTTCACAGAGTTAAACAGAAACTGACAGAGATGCTGTGTCTTACAGCTGGTTTGCTGGAGTATGATGAGCAGTTCTGTTCCAGTTATTACGCACGTGATATAAGCATAGCCATAGAAATAATTGTGTTGCACATGTGAGAACGATGAGCAATGTGTGCTGCACAGCCCTCTTACATCCTGCTCACAAACCACAATATCAATTGTTGGCCAAAGAGCTCTTGCACTTACACTGAAAATTAAAAGATAAATTGAGAACATATTTTCCGTTATTCTGTGAAACTCTTAATGTTACTTAATCAAACACCTCCACTGGTATGATGCAAAAATAATTTGAATATCTAATATTTTAGCTGCCTAGTTTAGAAAGTTTGCATTAAGTGAAAAACATTTAATTCAAATGTTTGAATTGATTGAAAGAATAAGATTTTTTTTAACCACATCTCTTATGCTCTCGGTGGCTGCATTTATTTGATAAAAAATAGAGTAAAAACATTAAAAAGTCTCAATTATTCCAAACTTTTGACCAGTAGTGTACTTGTTAAACATGACTGTTATTAGACACAATGTGCTTATGCTGCATCTGTGCTTGTTATCAGTTTGAAGTGTGAATACAGAAAGGAAGCACTGATCTGACGTTTAGGGGGTAAAGCATGTTGTTTTAGGGGTAGGAATAGATGCTATTTTCTAAACATCACTCGTTCATTAAAGATAAATCCTCATATTTTAAATCTGTATTATGTGTTTGATGTGTAGGTGCAGGGAATGTCCTTTATAGCAGCAGTGTTGATTCTCAACATGGACACTGCTGAAGCCTTCATTGCTTTTGCCAATTTGTTGAACAAGCCTTGTCAAATGGCTTTCTACAGA